TTGTTTTGTGTTTCTTCCATTTGTGAATGATTGCACCAACTGTTGTCACCTTCTCACCAAGCTGCTTGGCCATAGTTTGGTAGCCCAGTCCAGCCTTGTGTAGGTCTACCATCTTGTCCCTGACATCCTTGGACAGCTCTTTGGTCTTTGCCGTGGTGGAGAGTTTGGAATCTGATGGTTTGATTGCTCCTGTGGACAGGTGTCTGTTATACAGGTAACACAATGAGATTATTATTATACAGTATTTATAAAGCGCCAGTAGTTCGCTCAGCGCTGTACATTACAAAGGGGGACAGAACATGTGACAGAACAATACCAATACAATGTGATACATGAGGGGTTCGAGGGCCCTGCTCTTTCGAGCTTACAATCTAGGAGGGAGGGGATGGTGGTACAGGAGGAGATAGCTGTGGGGGGTGGAGTGGTAGGAAGAGTGGAAGAGGTCGGTAAGTTAGCGGGGGGTGGGGTAGGCTTCCCTGAAGAGATGGGTTTTCAGGGTGCGCCTAAAGGAGAGGAGAGTAGGTGATAATCTGATGGGGCAGGGAGTTCCAGAGGATGGGTGACACCCTGGAGAAGTCCTGGAGGCGGGCATAGGAGGAGACCAGGGAACTAGAGAGAAGGAGGTCTTGTGAGGAGCGGAGTGTGCGTGTTGGGCGGTATTTGGATATTAGGTCAGTGATGTAGTTCAGGGCAGTATGGTGGACGGCTTTGTACGTCAGTGTTAGGAATTTGAATTTGATCCATTGCGCAATCGGAAGCCAGTGGAGGGATTGGCAGAGGGGGGTGGAGGACACTGAGTGGAGGCCAGTGGAGGGATTGGCAGAGGGGGGTGGAGGACACTGACTGGAGGCCAGTGGAGGGATTGGCAGAGGGGGGTGGAGGACACTGAGTGGAGGGATTGGCAGAGGGGGTGGCGGAGATGGAGCGGTTGGAAAGGTGGATGAGTCTGGCAGCCGTATTCAGGATCGACTGAAGTGGGGCTAGTCAGCGGTGAGGCAGGCCAGTGAGGAGGGAGTTGCAGTAGTCGAGTCGTGATATGATGAGGGAGTGGATGAGCTGTTTAGTGGTTTCTGGGGTTAGGAACGTGCGGATTTTGGCGATGTTGTGGAGGTGGAGTCTACATGTTGCGGAGGTGGAGTCTGCATGTTGCGGAGGTGGAGTCTGCATGTTGCGGAGGTGGAGTCGCACGAGTTTGTTAAAGATTGGACTTGGGGCTGGAAGGATAGGTTGGAGTCCAGAATGACACCAAGTACTCTGGCCTGCAGGGCGGGTTTGATGGTGGCGTTGTTGGACATGATGGAGAAGTCAATGGGGGGTGGGGTCCGGGCTGGGGGGAAGACAAGAAACTCGGTTTTGGAGAGGTTCAGTTTAAGGAAGTGGAGCGACATCCAGTCTGATATGTCGCTCAGTAGGTATTTGATTCGGGCGGAGACTGAGGGGGTGAGGTGGGGGGTTGAGAGATAGATTTGTGTGTCGTCGGCATAGAGGTGGTAGTTGAAGCCGTGAGAGTGTATGAGTTGGCCAAGGGAGGAGGTGTAGATGGAGAAGAGAAGGGGCCCGAGGACGGAGCCTTGAGGGACCCCAACAGAGAGGGGGAGTGAGGGGGGGAGGTGGTAGCATTATAGGTAACGCTGAAGGAGCGTTGTGACAGGTAGGATGAGAGCCAGGAGAGGGCGGAATCTCTGAGGCCGAGGGAGTGTAGTAGTTTAGTAAGGAGGAGGGGGTGGTGGACTGTGTCGAAGGCCGCAGAGAGGTCAAGGTGTAGGAGCACTGAGTAGTGGCCATTAGCTTTGGCAGTTAGCAGGTCGTTGGAGAGTTTGAGTAAGGCAGTTTCGGTGGAGTGTAGGGGACGGAAGCCGGACTTTAGGGGATTGAGGAGGTTGTTGTCGTTGAGGTGAGAGCTTAGGCGGGTGTAGACGAGGCGCTCGAGGAGTTTGGATATGAATGGGAGCAGGGAGATGGGTCTGAGGTTGTTCGGGTCATTGGGGTCCAGGGAGGGCTTTTTAAGTATGGGGGTGATGTGTGCATGTTTCAAAGGGGAGCGGAAAGTGCCGGAGGAGAGGGAGAGATTAAAGATGTGGGTGAGGGAGCGTAGGATGGAGGGGGAAGGAGGTTGTAAAAGTTGTGAGGGGACAGGGTCGAGGGGGCAGGTGGTGAGGCGGGCATCAGAGAGGATCTTGGAGACTTCCTCGATGGTAGTAAGGTCAAAGGTGCGGAGTGTTGGGGGGGGCTTCAGTATGAGGAATGTAGGGTGGGGTGGAAGTGGAGGTCAGAGCAGTGGTGGGGCCGTGGGAGAGGGGTGATGATGGGGTAGCTGAGGGAGAGGGAAGGGGGTTGGAGGGAGTTTGAGCAGCGACGAAGTCCCTGTGGGTTATGTCGAGGGGGAGGGGGGGGATGAGGGGGTAGCTGTGTGAGAGGGGACGGGTTGAGAGGGCGTGTGAGTTGCGGCGATGTCCTTGCGAATTGTGTCAATCTTGTTTTTGAAGTGATTGGCAATCTCAAGGGCAGTGAGTGAGGTGCTGGGTGGAGGTGGGGGTGGTGAGAGTAGAGAGTTGAAGGTGGAGAAGAGTCAGTGAGGATTGGAGGAGAGGGCCTTGATGAGGGTCAGGAAGTAGGCTTGTTTGGCAGCGTGGAGGGAGGAGGTGTAGGTGTGGAAGGCAGATTTGTATCGGGTGAAGGCTTGTTGGGATTTGGTTTGGCGCCATAGTCGCTCCAGGGCACGACTGCGTCGTTTGAGGGTTTTGGTGTGATCAGTCTGCCAGGGCTGGAGCGGTCGGGGTCTGATGTTGCGTGTGGTTAAAGGTGGGATGAGGCCGGGTTGCTGAGGTTGACAGGGATGTTGAAATCCCCAAGGATGATGGTGGGTAGCTCAGAGGAGAGGAAGAAGGGTAGCCAGGAGGTGAAGTCATCCAGGAAGCGGGGTATGGATCCAGGAGGCCGGTATATCACAGCAATCTTCAGGGGGGTTGGGGAGAATAGTCGGACGCAGTGGGCCTCGAAGGAGGAGAAGGATAGGGAGGGGAGTTTGGGAGGACTCGGAAGGTGCTCTGCGGTGACAGGAGCAGACCAACCCCACCACCTTTGCGACCGTTAGGCCTGGGTGAGTGGGTCCAGGTGAGACCTCCGTAGGAGAGTGCAGCAGGGGAGGCAGAGTCAGTGGGCTGGATCCAGGTTTCTGGGATCGCTAGGAGACTGCCTCTAATCTCAGCTTGTTACCTGTATGAGAGACACCTGGGAGCCAGAAATCCTGCTGAATGATAGGGGATCAAATCCTTCTTTCCCTCATGAACATGCAGATCCGTCATCATTTGTTAGACGCATTTCTGCTGAATTTGTTGTTGTATTCTGTCTCTCAGTGTTACACCGAACATTCCATTGTTAGACCGATCATTTCTGTGTGAGGGGCGAACATTCCATTGTTAGACCGATCGTTTCTGTGTGAGGGGCGAACATTCCATTGTTAGACCGATCGTTTCTGTGTGAGGGGCGAACATTCCATTGTTAGACCGATCGTTTCTGTGTGAGGGGCGAACATTCCATTGTTAGACCGATCATTTCTGTGTGAGGGGCGAACATTCCATTGTTAGACCGATCATTTCTGTGTGAGGGGCGAACATTCCATTGTTAGACCGATCATTTCTGTGTGAGGGGCGAACGTTCAGGATCAGCAGGGGGGCAAATACACATTTCCTGCACTGTACTTTGCACTCTATTCTTGCATCATACGGGTACAAAATAATTCACGATGATTGAGAGACGTCCCCCTTTAATAACAATGATAATGGCTTTGTGTCGTGTCGCAGCCAATAACAGGAGCACCAAGTAAAGTTCACAGTCAGAGCAAAAAACAAAAAAAGTCCCAGCTCTCACCTCTCCCCTCCACAGGGCGGTCAGGATTCATGGGGGTGCGATAAACGCTCAACAGAGTCTGAAAAGCCTTCAAAAGTCACAAAATAAAAAACTTTGTAACATTTATTTAAACATCACAAAATTAATATAAAGTTATGAAATCATTAAATGGGTAACTCCACTTTTCGCAAAAAAAAAAAAATAAAAATAATCTAACGTATACAATTGCGGCACAAGTCATATTGTAATTGAATGTTAAAAAAACGACTTTTCCCTTTCAATCTGCAGCCGCTGTCATTGTCTGTAAGATACAACATGGCCGCCTAGAGGAGCTCTGTACACAGAACACCGCACCGGAAATGTCATCTCCTGGTTATACGATTGGCTCACTGATTTTCCCAGAAGTCTCCACTAAGTTACAAATCAGATTTTGGGCATCCCCTGCAACAAAAATGTAATTTCTGCTGAGATACTCTCAAAAGGAAATCCCATTTAAAAAAGGTATGCAGACCCTGCCACTTTCCTCAGTCCTGCGGGTTCTGTCTGTGAATGCATTTTCAATGCACCAATAACGTCCTCCTACTGACAGGTAATGGGCAAAATATTCTATTATTTCCACTTCCTTTACTATGTAAATACAGTATTTTCTATATTCAAAATATCAACGATCTGCAAACACTTCCCCCCATATTTCCCCCCACTGCACCCCTGAACCTGGATTCTTCATTTTCTGAACCCACCAATGACATTTCTGGGGCTGCTTACTTTACTTTCAATAAAAAAAAAAAAAAAAAAAAAAAAAAAAAATGTCCGACCCCAGAAGTCAGAAAAACCAAAAGGTTGCCAAAAAACTCCCAAATTTCACGGATACGGTGAATGCAGGGTCCGGGGAGAGCAGATACAGTGAATGCGGGGTCCGGGGAGAGCAGATATAGTGAATGCGGGGTCCGGGGAGAGCGGATACAGTGAATGCGGGGTCCGGGGAGAGCGGATACAGTGAATGCGGGGTCCGGGGAGAGCGGATACAGTGAATGCGGGGTCCGGGGAGAGCGGATACTGTGAATGCGGGGTCCGGGGGGAGAGCGGATACAGTGAATGCAGGGTCCGGGGAGAGCGGATACAGTGAATGCAGGGTCCGGGAGAGCGAGCGGATACAGTGAATGCAGGGTCCGGGGAGAGCGGATACAGTGAATGCGGGGTCCGGGGAGAGCGGATACAGTGAATGCGGGGTCCGGGGAGAGCGGATACTGTGAATGCGGGGTCCGGGGAGAGCGGATATAGTGAATGCGGGGTCCGGGGGGAGAGCGGATATAGTGAATGCGGGGTCCGGGGAGAGCGGATATAGTGAATGCGGGGTCCGGGGAGAGCGGATATAGTGAATGCGGGGTCCGGGGAGAGCGGATACGGTGAATGCGGGGTCCGGGGGAGAGCGGATACGGTGAATGCGGGGTCCGGGGAGAGCGGATACGGTGAATGCGGGGTCCGGGGGAGAGCGGATACGGTGAATGCGGGGTCCGGGGAGAGCAGATACGGTGAATGTGGGGTCCGGGGAGAGCGGATACGGTGAATGCGGGGTCCAGGGAGAGCGGATACGGTGAATGCGGGGTCCGGGGGAGAGCGGATACGGTGAATGCGGGGTCCAGGGAGAGCGGATACGGTGAATGCGGGGTCCGGGGAGAGCGGATACGGTGAATGCGGGGTCCGGGGAGAGCGGATACGGTGAATGCGGGGTCTGGGGAGAGCGGATACGGTGAATGCGGGGTCCGGGGAGAGCGGATACGGTGAATGCGGGGTCCGGGGAGAGCGGATACGGTGAATGCAGGGTCCGGGGAGAGCGGATACAGTGAATGCAGGGTCCGGGGAGAGCGGATACAGTGAATGCGGGGTCCGGGGAGAGCGGATATAGGGAATGCGGGGTCCGGGGAGAGCGGATACAGTGAATGCGGGGTCCGGGGAGAGGATATAGGGAATGCGGGGTCCGGGGAGAGCGGATATAGGGAATGCGGGGTCCGGGGAGAGCGGATACAGTGAATGCGGGGTCCGGGGAGGCGATCAATAGGGCTTCACCACAATGAGTGAAATGCTTGACTCGCAGTTGCATGTGGCCCGGCAAAGTAATAATGCTGCAGGGGCGGACTGACCATTTGGAAACTCGGGCACTTCCAGGGGGCCAGGGGTCAGTAGGGGGCCCCATGAGATGCCCCTGGTACCTTTTTCATAGGCATTTTTGAGTTTGGGCAAGAACACAGGGGCCCCATGATCCCCTATTGCCCGGGGACCCCATAAGTTGTCAGTCCACCCCTGGAATGCTGTTCAGCCAAAAAAAAAAAAACCACACACAGGCACCAGAAGTTAGTAATAGCACTTTCTGAACGCCTGAGAGCTCCTGCCAGATCACATTCTGAACAGCAATCCACAGCAGATTGCTTTTCAGAGGACACCAAGCATCTCTGTCACCTGTGTGGTTATGATCCTCTCTAGCTGTTACACACAATGCAGTTTGATGTACCTCCACTCTCTATAGGCCCAGACAAGGATTGGGATCGAGCCGCTTTTACACTTTTGCAGCTCAGAAACAGATGTAAATTCTAACTAGAGATCATCTGTCAGCAGATTTTCATCCTGGGTGGAGTTCCCCTTTAATGGAAGCCGTTGTCTAACCTACCTGGTAGGTGTCCCTGTCAGAGGGGTGAATGACGAAATACACGTCCATCTGGCCCGGGTTCTCTCTGGCGAAGCGTAGCACAGCCTCCGTCATGACTTTAGCCACATCGGGTTTGAAGAGGCCAATATTTCCCGTCCCCAGCGCAGGAAAAGAGATGGTGCGTTTGTTATATGCGCGTGCGTTTTGCAGGCATTCCTTGGTCACATGGTGTAAAACCTGCAACAAGACGGGTTATGATAGAAGAGATATGGAGCCGACATCCAAATACAACAGAAAGCCGTCAATGATGAAGAATGGAGACAACACAAGAGATGTCCAAAGAGCCAATATATAGACAGCAGAGATGTGCTGGAACCAGAGCAATCCATAACAAATGACCTGCAACCCCACCATCACCGACTCATGAAAGGTGGAATCTACTTCCCAAACTTCACCACCATCTGACTGCAGGAAACTCCTCTACTGAGTCCACTGAGGGACACAGGAATCCGAGACCATCGGGTTAGACTGCCACCTACAGGAGGATTGGATATTGGCAAAAAAAAAATTAAATTGTAAGCCATCTCCCCTATTACCCCTCAACTATCCAGCATGGCTCTGAGACTTGTGTCTCCCGGAGGACTCCAAAAATCCTATTTTCTTTCTCATCCATTGAGGGACATGACTCAGATACAGTTGAGGTGTCCAGAAACAGGCCAAGTGGTCAATGGGAAGGCACAGAGAATCAACCTGATGCTCAAGATGGGGAAGACGGTGCTCAGCGTACAGGAGGTCACTGCCAGAGGAAAAAGGACTCCACATGGAGGGGAATATCGAACCTGAAGAAGCTAACCAATCAGAACCCACCAAAACAGGTTGTTGGACGGCAACATGATTTTAGCTCAGACATTTATGGATTTTTACTGCCCGGTTAACGAAGTGCCATTTGGCTTGTTGGAATCTGCGGCTACTGACTCGGCTTGTTCCTGGAACCGTCTTCCCTGCCTGTTTCCCGATATGACCTCGGCTTGGCTAACGGATATTTTCACTTGCTCTCCTGTGTATGATCTCAGCTATCCATCGGCTCTAATCCCCACCCGGCATCCGACCCTGGCTCTGACCAGACTACTCTGCTGTCCTCTGCTACTTTGAAGGCCTGCTATCTCTCACGGGCACCACCCGTCTGCAGACACCATTCTAGTGAATCAGCTGTGCTCCTGGGTGTACCTCTGACAAGCATCCTCAGTCAGATCATCTCTACAAGAACTCCTGCAGGCGACTGTCACAAGTTCATCCCACCGCTGCCACCAACCTGTCAAGGGTCACCCGCACGCCACGCCTACAGCGACTAGCTAACCGAGGCACGCACGTGCGGCTGTGACTTGGGGTAAGAGGGAATAAAGGGGACTCAACTTTGATATACTTCCACAGCCTGCACTACCTCTGTCCACCACCGGAGGGAGACTCCACTCCAATCCAGCTGGCTGACCACACACTGGCAAATACAAATCTTACATACAATCTGGTGCACTGATTAGAGCTGAGGAGCAGCTTAGCAATCACACCCTTCTAGAGTCCCTCCAGCTATCCTACAGCTTGAACCCCGGTGTTATCACCCTTCCACTGTCCTCACCCCCCTGCACCAGACACACCACAAAAGGTAGCCTGCCACCAACCAACAGTTTATTCGCAGAACGGTCTGCTGGGCCACCACACACACGTCTGGCCGATCTGTTACCTTTTACAACCTGCACGCAATCTGCCCACATACAGAGCAATTGCATACAGATTGGCAATGAGCTTGACCAAGCGCATAAAGGCACTAAAATACAATCCAATCTAATCTCTCTGGAGATATGAGCCCGAGCTTCAATACACAGAAGTCACTTATTAATGTTAAGATTTAATATCCCAAAAGTGGGCGGGGCATAAAATATGTACAAAATATAAAGAGTTACAGAAATACAACAACAAATACAAGAAGACACACAAATGACTAATTACTATAAAATAAAAAGGGAATAAAACAGAATAAAACTTTTACCGAGATTTATCCTGCGACTGGAGCAAGCCAGAGTGTCAGCAATCCGTCAGTCAAATAGAACCGGCTCCATACAAATTACGATGTCCCAATGTCCGGGTACTCAATTTACAGGGATATGGACGTAGGCGGGACATTAGTCCTTGGCCAATTGACCCTGGGGGGTGTTCCTGCACCCGCCCACAGGATGTTCTGGGTGCCAAACTGCCCAAGGTCAATCGGACCAAGACCAGCTTGAATTACCAAGTTGGGGATTGGATTTCCGACACCAGCGCATCAGTCCGATTGCGACAGTACCAATCACTGTTCGGCTGTCTCAATCCAGCACCAGCTAACCATTCCCTACATTTTCCTGGCATGCTACCTAATCCACAAATACAGTTTTTATATGTCGATGTGACCCACAGAGTACCCTATCAGAGGGAAGAATTTTCATCTCTCTGCAACTAATTTTTCAGCTTTTATGAGCGATGAAACATTTCCTTTGATGTATGTATATTCTTTTAGAGCTCCCAATGTCAGGGAGACAGATCGGAGCCCCCCTGGTGTCATGAAGCCAACCTGTCTCCAGCCGTTTCCTTCCCGGTTTCCCCAGAAGGTGACAAAATCTTATTAGCACCCAGGTGCCACTTCCAGGGGAAGCTAGGCTTTTCAGATGCTAATTGATGACCATCTGTCTCTGAACACCTCATTTCCCCAATGACAAGGACTGAAACTACATTTAGGATTACATTTTGCTACAGGTCACATTTATCTACTCAAATCTGTACATTTTATGTCACAGTGACCCTTGCTAATTTGGGCCCGATTCCTTCTGTCCCATCTCCAGGGGAGTCTGGAACTTAGCCGCAAGGGAAGCCCTCTCTCCATTGGCCTCCAGCACCAGGTACGTGATACCCATACTGGTGAGATAAGAAGGAACCGAGGATGAAACTAAAGCAATACATCTAAAACAGCCAGAGGGGTCCATGAAGCCTGGCAGGATTGTACTGACCTTACCTAACCCTGACCTCAAGGCACGGGTCTGAGAAGTTCCTGGTCACCTCCAGGTCCAGTAAAACTTTAACAGATGTGGAATGAGAAACAGATATCTTAGAAAAAAAACACTAAAAACATTCACTCAGTTCAGAACATTACAAGCAAAGGCCTCTGGGGAACCAAACAAAGAAGACCAGGTGAACAGGTCCCACAATGTCCTTCAGACATACTCCATTTCAAGCAGAGGGCACCTGGAGTAGGAAGCTAGTGTGTTTCACCTGCTAACAATCCAGGGACATAAACCACTCCATGCAATGATCACCACCCCCCAGAAAGGATCTGATGGGCATCTAGATGGCAAACCTCTTGGTGCAGAGACCATTGATTACGCACTATCCTTAGGAGAGACCGTACAAACAAGGAAACAAGGCTAATACTCATCATCCAAGCCACTTCCCTCGTCACAGGAAGGACTACCACTACTTCCTGGAGGTGAAGGTACTGCAACACCTAGATGTCATCCAATAGGAATCTGAACCCAGAAATGTGCTCAAAGTGGGGTCTGCAATGTGTAGGGAACTTTCCTTTTTGGAAAGCCAGACCGTAACCTTGGGTGTAACGGAACCAGACCCCGACTGCACTAGGGTATTTCCGTTAGACTCCAGCTTCCCTGTCCGAACACAGATCCAAGGACACCACCGCTGACCATACAAGAGGAGACAGCACCAGACTTGTATTAAACTAGGAAATAGACTGCTTTATTTTAACACAGACACAAGATATAAACATTCAAGGGATCAATTCCCCCCTCCCTGCATAAGGACACAGGGTGGGGCAAACCAAATCTAGCCACAAGAAACACATCAGACAGTCCCATCAGGGGGAAGGGCTGCCGGAAACACCCCCCACCAAACCAATACACAAACACACACATCCCATAATAGTTTGCAAGACACAATAGAACAATGGGATGCACCACATGGCAGAGAACAATGGACATCCCCCACCCCCCACCTATACATGTCTATACAACACAATATCAGGACTACATTTTAAGCGCTGCACCTATCTTATTTTAGATGTCTTTGGAAAGGTTTATGGTTTCCTTTACAGTACACAGCCGCTTTTATCCCTTTTTTTTTTATCGCTCGCTGAGTTTTCTTATCCCTTTTATCCCACTGGAAAGCTGACAGCGAATCACATGCTGCAGGGCAGGGAATGCCTATGATTGGCAGTTGGTTTTGATAGCTTCCCAACACCCTACAGTGGTATAGTGTGGGTTGCCAGCACCTGGGGCAAGCCAAGTATTGACTCCCCCCCAACCAATCAGTGCAATATTTTTTTAATTTTGCACCCAGGGCAACCGACCCTTTGGCTCCGCCTACACTACACCCCCGAATGTTTGGTATTCCTGCACAGGAGGTGCATTTTAGAAATGTGTATTCTGGGACTCTGAAGTGGATAGTGGTCAATCAAAATGGATGAGCTTGGTCAGGTGACCTGTCCTCCAAATATTGAGCCCTCTGCTATGTTAACCGCAGGTTCAATCCTGCACCCCACAATAAATTGATTGGTATAGAAACACAGACTGTGGTACTGAGTAAGGCTGTAGAGTATAAAGCAGAGAGGAGTCCAGGATCCTCTCCGTTATAAATGAGCCCCATTGGAAAGAGGTGGGAACAGTTTGGCTGAGTTCTCGTTGCCGCCCCATAGAGATGCCTTCTACATAGAATTTGCTGTTTGTTTACTCCGTCAACAGAGACAAAAGGAGAAAATTGATAGATGCACTTACCTGCAGAGCATATTGATAGCCTGATGAACGAAATGGTAAAATGACATGGTAGATGGACTCACAGGACAGGTTGAAGCCCTTGGTGCGGATCATGGTGATATTGGCGGTGGGGTTCGCGCTACGAAGGTAACTATTTTGTTTTCTGATTTCCTCCTGCAATTTATACCCGGCCTTGGAGGCAATGGCTTCAGAGATCGCTCCACCATTTAGGCCCAGATTAGAGGAGATTGAGTTCACAATAATCTGTGTCTGCAAAAGATTGAAAGGGAATTCTCTTACTTGGACTGTAATGGAAGTCATGTGTTCAGCTGTGTACATATGATGCACCGTGTATCCAGAGGCCGTGTTTTCATACTTCCGGTGTCAGCATCTCACCTACTACTGTCCAGAGTGGAGACAACAAGAACAATGAGGTCAGAACCCCGTCTTTGTGTTGGTCATGTGTGCACTACTGCAATACATGGTGCAGCACCATCTACGTGTTAAAGTGTTGTGATGCCATTGGCTTTGGAAGGCTTCCCAACACGCTAAGGCATTGCACAGCCATGTACTAACATGCATTGCATTCTCAGGTGAGCTGCCCAAATGCCATGCCCAACATAGGTGTGATCTGTGAGCTCTCTCTCCCAACAAATGGGGAGAGGTGATTGGGTCTGATGGATGTGCACCAGGTTCCTAACTCCTTTGGTCATGTATGTCTGTTCTGCATGCAAATAGATCTCTTCTGTCCTGACGACTACTCCAACTATGGTAGACCATGTACCACCCTGTCAGCCTTGGTGGTGTCTAATTGCCAGCTGTAACCTCGCTGCTTAGAACCATCTGTCTGCCCGATGCCTCAGCTCCACTTTGAAAGTTTATCTCCCCAAAATTGTACCCAGAATCACTTGTAGTTTAAAGCAGAACTGGGGAGAAAAGCTCCAGGGGAAGACACATTACCCAAGGCCAAAGTGAACTTACAGTTTAAATCCGCTAAATCCATTCCCGTTGCATCAAAACAAAATGTAACACCCTCCTAGTCAGCTAGGGGGAGCTAGTAGGTTAGCGAATTGTTAGATGGGAGGGCTGAGTAGAGCCTGGGTGTGATAGCTAGCAAGGGTCAAATTCAGGGCAGAGCTGAGAGGCTCTGCAGATCAGCTCTCTGAGACTTCCCCCTGCTCTAGAACTTTGGAGAAACTTCTAGAAGCAGTGGGCGGATGTGAGGAGTGGCTGATCTGAACTTTTCAGGGATCCTGACCAATCTCCAACAGCAGGCATGGCAAGGGGCCAGGACATCCCTTAAAGATGATTGAGCCTACTCAACAGCAGGAGAGTACGGGTAGAAGAGGATGTGAAGGCTAGAGAGAGGAGCCTGGGAGGGGCCCAGATGGGAGAGGGGCTCACCTCTAGGCAAGGACCTTGGAAGGCGAAAGCTTGGACCTTCACCGTCCCCTGAGAGAGGACCCCCTGTGTGGCAGAGGAAGAACGGCCCAGCTAGAAGGCCTGGTAGCAGCCACCAACTCAACAGCAACACAGGACAGGGACCAAGTGAGTAGACCTGCACCCCCTGGGCCAGATAAGGGAAGGAGCACTGTGGTGGGAAACCAGATTAGCGACTACCTGGGACTGTCTTTTTGGCAGACACTGGACCCCCTGCTCAGGGATTCCTTTGGACAGCCAGACAGAGGAGCATTTGGGGTGAGGTAAATCAGGAGATGCTGGCTAGCTCTCCAAGAAGAGGATTCTTTGTACAGACTTGTAAACAGGTCAGGAAGTTGTCCTCGGTTTCTCAGTTCCATTGGACATCCCGCACACCCCTTACCCCATCCAAGTTCCAAATCCCCTAATAAAACATGAAAACAAGTTCAATGACTGGTCACTGTCCCCTGAATGCAAGTCAGTGGGAAAATGTGTGTTGCCTGGCTGTGCAGGACTATAGGGGGACCCAAAACTATTGCAACTCTTAAGGGGGGGGGGGGCTAGTGCTACGAGAAGAGGAGCAAAGTCTGGAGGGCCCATTCGTAGCACTGTGGTACATCAGTGCAAGTGCACTGACATGCTATATGCAGCACATAATGTACATTGGATTATGGCAGCTCATTCATTCGAATAAGCAGCCTAACAAACCAAAAACGCACCACAAATATTGCAAGCACCATATCCGGCCATGCAGCGCACTGCAATGTATGTTAGGGCGTTTCTAGGTGTTGCACTTGCACTGTAAGTATCAGCAATGTGCATTGGGTGCCCTTCAGAAAGAGAAGGACCCTTGCGGTCTGTGTGGAAGCAGTGGTCTCTCTGCAGAGGTCAGATGCACCCCCTGCTGAATCAGAGTTAGAGCGCCCCAATCAACAGAAGGCCTGAGCTTTGATGATGGCAGAGCTGGAGAGGTCTGGCTCAGCAGGAAGTGCACCGGACCTCTGCAGAGAGACCACTGCTTCCACACTGAGAGCAAGAGCCCTCCTCTGTAGCAGGCTGGCTTTTCTACTCCGGCTGTGGCTGCTTTCTAAAGAAAACCAACTGTAAGTCTTTACACATCTTGGTTTCTATGATCCTGCAATGTATTTAGACAATTCAAACCTAAGGTCAGGTGGGCTTTACTGAATGTCACAAACCGCAACTAGAAATGTGAGGTTCGCTTTGTTCTGAATCGAAACGCATACTTTTTTTTTTTTAATTCGGTTGTATATAATGAATCTGAAACAACAAAAATGAAATTTCGAATTTGAAGCAAATTAAAAAAAAAAAAAAAAAAAAAGAAAAAGAAAGAAAAGAATAGAACATAAAAGAATAGAATAAAACAGAATGACTGACTATAACCTTCTTCTGAAATTCCAGTTTAATACATTGGAATAGAATAGATTAAAATAGAAAAAAACTGAATTTAATAGAAAAAAAAAATAGAATAAAAAAAATAAAAAGAATATAATCTTCAGATATTCGCATTTCAAATAGAATAAATTTGAATAGAATAGATTAAAATAGAACAGAAAAAAAAACAATAGAATAGAATAAAAAAAAAAGTTTTCCTGAAATTTGAATAAAAAAGAAAGAATACAACAGTTTTCCGAAATTCGATTAGAAGAGGAGAGAGTAGAACAGAATAGAATATAACCTTCTTTGGACATTTGAATAGAATAGAACCAGGCCAGCTATTCTTCACAATGAATTCGGAACAATTCTATATCTCCAATTCGAATTTGATTCATATTCAAATTCCATTCGATATTCCCAAATTCAGTTGAATTTCATTCAATTCTGATGAAGTCAGAAAATTCAAATCGAATTGGAATAAATTAAATGAATTCCGAAAACAAATTAAACAAAGTTAACCAATTTAATGAAACAAAATTAGTTAAATAACGAATTGAATCAAATCGAAACAAATGTTTTGTGCTGCACATGTCTAAGCCCACCCAGGGCACTCCAGGGAGAATGGCAGATTCAAATTTTTTTTTTCAGGGTAAAGCAAAGCTGAGACACCAGGAAAGCTCTCCTGTGTAATCGTATATATGGCTGTACTCATTATCCGTGGTGACGGACGGGAAGAGACATGTGATGGACTTACCTTCTGTTCCTCTATCAGCCCACGTTTCAGGTGAAGGGTCAATCCATTGATGGTGATGGGCTGTGACATCTCCATAGGGGACCCGTGTGCTGAGGGCTGCATAAGGGCGCTCCTATAGCTGGACGTTGTTGGTGAGGGTTGTGATGTAGCGGTCATGCTGCGTGTCACTGGCCTTGTTTGAGAAGAGGAAGCAGATGTGGCTCCACTGAGGTCATCACTTGGACCAAAGATGTTTTCACAGGCCGCCTTCATGGCTTGGACAGCCGGGTCATTGTTATTCACCAGTCGGATCTCCTTTAGATGGGTCTGTGTCACAGTTAAAAAGAATAAGTGAATGGTCTTCACCATAATATCTGCGCACCGTTGGAGAGGAAACCCAAAGATCCCGGAGCTCACGGCTGGGATGGCCACAGATTTGATGTCTGTGTGCTGATTCACATATTTCAACACGTTCCTGATGCATTCGGAAAGCTCATCGTCACATCTATTGGCAGCTTCTATGAACCACACCGGACCCACGGCATGAAGGAGACACTTACAGGGGAGATTGCCGGGACGTGTCACTGCGCACTGTCCGGTTTTTAACCTTCCATTGGTCTTAACATATTCTTTGCTGTCCTTTTTCAATGTCTGATCCTCCAGCTTCCACCAAAGCACGGGCCAACCCCCCGGCATGATCCAGGTCCTCATTAGCGGCATTCACCACAACATCGGCGTCCTGCCTAGTGAGGTCGCCCTTCCATACACCGACCACGGGGCCCAACAAGATTTTCTTCTCATAAACTTTTTCAGCCTTGATTGACGCAGCTTGAGATTTGGTGGGTTTAGGGCCTCTTAACTGCACTTCACAACTGAACTTCCTGAGGAAGAGGTCGGTGAGCTCATTCTCACACCCGAGAAGATGGAAGTAATCAGATTCTGGAAGAACGATCCGATGGGTACGCTCCATATTTCTGAAAGAAAAACCAGAGAACGCCATTAAAGTCTACCACCTCTGTAACTGAACCCCCGAGAATGGTCCACACACAGCATTTATATATCAGTTGGACAAGAAATGATGTTCTATCCTTAATCCTTTACATTCATTGCATAGTGTAGACCAGCAATGTGCAAACTACGGCCCAGCGGACCTTTTAATCCGGCCCGAGGAGCGTGATACTGTCAGGATGGTTGTCAGGATGTGTGTAGGCGGGGCAGCGTGACGAACGTGAGGTGAGGGGAGCTAGGCTCCTCTCACAGTCCGCCCTGAAGACTGGAACGGCGCGCGGGAACACGGCGAGAGGAACACGTGGAGCAAAGGTAAGTGAATTGACACAGGGGGGACTTGGGGACTTAATATGGGGAATGAATTACTATATGGGGGGATGAATTACTATATGGGGGATGAATTACTATATGGGGGATGAATTACTATGGGGGATGAATTACTATATGGGGGATGAATTACTATATGGGGGATGAATTACTATATGGGGGATGAATTACTATGCTTACTAAGGGGGATGAATTACTATATGGGGGATGAATTACTATAGGGGGATGAATTACTATATGGGGGATGAATTACTATATGGGGGATGAATTACTATGGAGGATGAATTACTATATGGGGGATGAATTACTATATGGGGGATGAATTACTATAGGGGGGATGAATTACTATAGGGGGGATGAATTACTATATGGGGGATGAATTACTATAGGGGGGATGAATTACTATAGGGGGGATGAATTACTATGGGGGATGAATTACTATATGGGGGATGAATTACTCTATGGGGGATGAATTACTATTTGGGGGATGAATTACTATATGGGGGATGAATTACTATGCTTACTATGGGGGAATATTACTATACTTACTATGGATGACACATACACATCATTCATCTACTCTTGGTCCGGGTCCAATATATGAACCCATTGCGGCCCTCAAGTTAAAAAGTTTGCCCACCCCTGGTGTAGACTCTCAGCCTCCTAAACAAACTAGAACAACATTTCGAAACAATTACATTTTTACAAACTGGAAAGTGACAAATGCAGCAGAACCTTTTTCTTCTTCTTTCATGATGCAATGTATAGAAACCACGTGTCTGAGGGGGACATTTATTGCTGCTCAGTATATGTATCATAGGGAGGAGGCCGATGCAACGTTCTCACGCCGGATTTTTGTTTGTCAATATTAACCGTTTGAGTTCATTTCCTTTAAGACTATATATACAGTTGTGTTCAAAATAATATCAGTGTGCTGAGAGAAGTGACTAAAGCTGAAAATCCTTCGAATCCTTTTCTTTCCATCCACACAAATGCATTGGGAACACGACACATTCTATTCCAAATCACAACATGAAGAAAAATACATCAAATTTGTGTTGTTCCTCTAAAAAAAATGGAAGAAAAGTGAATATTAGACGGTTCAAAAAAATGGCCGTGTTTGTATTCTTCTTTACAAACTCCAACATTCACTATATAAACTGAGAAATGTTTGAAGATTTTGCTTTCCTTTGAATGACTTCATGAATATTTGGTTGTAGTCGCACTGTTTCTGAGAACTGCTGTACATCTGTGTTGCATGGAGTCCCCCAACTTCTGGCCCCTGTGATCAGGTATTCCAGCCCAGGATGATTGGACCACATTCCACAGTTCTTCTCTATTTCTTGGTTTGGCCTCAGAAACGGCATTTTTGATGTCACCCCACAAGTTTTCTATTGGATGAAGATCCGGGGATTGGGCTGGCCACTCCATAACGTCCATCTTGTTGGTCTGGAGCCAAGATGTTGCACGTTTACTGGTGTGTTTGGGGTCGTTGTCTTGTTGGAACACCCATTTCAAGGGCATTTCCTCTTCAGCATAAGGCAGCATGACCTCTTCAAGTATTCTGATGGATTCAAACTGATCCATGATCCCTGGTATGCGATAAATAGGCCCAACACCGTAGTATGAGAAACATCCCCATATCATGATGCTTGCACCACCATGCTTCACGGTCTTCACAGTGTACTGTGGCTTGAATTCAGTGTTTGGGGGTCGTCTGACAAACTGTCTCCGCCCACTAGACCCAAAAAGAACAATCTTACTTTCATCAGTCCACAAAATGTTGCACCATTTCTCTTTAGGCCGGTCAATGTGCTCTTTGGCAGATTGTAACCTCTTCAGCACGTCTTTTCTCCAACAGTGGGACTTTGCGGGGACTTCTTGCAGATAGCTTGGCTTCACATCGGCGTCTTCTAATTGTAACAGTCCTCACAGGGAACGTCACACCTTCTTTCATCCTCCTGGAGCTGATTGTTGGCTGAGTCCTCACAGGGAACGTCACACCTTCTTTCATCTTCCTGGAGCTGATTGTTGGCTGAGTCCTCACAGGGAACGTCACACCTTCTTTCATCTTCCTGGAGCTGATTGTTGGCTGAGTCCCCCCCATTTTGGCTATTCTTCTATCCATTCCAATGGTAGTTTTTCGCTTTCTTCCGCATCTTTCAGGTTTTGGTTGCCATTTTAAAGCATTTGCCATCATTTTAGCTGAGCAGCCGATCATTTTCTGCACTTCTTTATATGTTTTCCCCTCCAATCAACTTTTTAATCAAGGTACGCTGTTCTTCTGAACAATGTCTGGAACGACCCATTTTCCTCAGAATTTCAGAGAGAAATGCACTGTAACCAGCATGTACAACATTTGCTGCCTTCCTTCCTTAAATAAGGGCAATAATTGCCACCTGTTTATCAAAGAATGAATGACGTCACTAATAGAACTCCACACGGCTATTATTGTGAACACGCCCCTTTCAATGAGTGATTCAATGACACAGAATCAGCAGCATGCATGTCATGACTGTCGGGTCTGTTGGATTTCTATGACTCTACTACACCTGCTAGGAAATTATCTGCCATGTAGAAATATCATTTCCACCAAAAACAGTGATTGATCCGGTTAGTGATGTCTGACTGCTAGTATTTTCAACACAACTGTATATATAGCATTCAAGGCCGTCATTTGAAATCAAGGGGCCCAGTACAGCCTACCTGACAGGGCCCCACCCCCCAGCACTCTCTATTGGTGGCCGTTCCCACTACCACACACTGTACCTTTGCTCCGCCATTACCTCCCACTTTGTACCCCGTGTTCCCCATTACCCAGCATTCTGCATCAACTTCATATCCCAACTGTGCCCACATTATCCCTCCCACCCCCACTATCCCGCACTCTGCATCCCTTATTACCCTACACTTTGCAACTCCCACATCCCCCTAATACATCCTACTCTGCACCCCCTGCATCCCTCCTTACCCTGCACTCTGATATGCCTCACTTTGCACCTCCTGCATCCTCCAAGATGCCTCACTTTGCACCCTTTACATCCCCCATTACCCAGCACTCTGCATCCCCCATTAATCCTCACTCTTAACCTACTGTATCCCCCATTGCCCTGCACCCTCCAAAATGCCTCACTCTGCACCCCCCCTTACACCTTACTCCACACCCCCGCATTGCCCAGCATTGTGCATCACCTGCATATCCCAATACACTCTGTACCCACATTACACCCCTCCCATCCCACCACTACCCCACATTCCCATTACCCTGCACACCACACCCCCGTGTCCCCTATTACACTTCACTCTGTATCCCCCATTACCCTACTCCCTGAACCCTCTGCATCCCTCACTCTGCACCCCCGCATAACTCATTGCCCTGCACCCCCTGCATCCTCCAATATGCCTCACTCTGCACCCCTTGAAAACAGTGCTCTCTGCCATTTATAGAGCGAAGCTTCATTTAGAAAGGGTGTGCTCACTGGCCCCGGGGGCCCCTTCTGAATCGTTATTGCAACCTCTGCATGGCTCACAGAAGATCCTCCATGCAGCGAGCTTCGCCTGATCATGCCCTTCCCTGCTGGGTGCGGGGTATTCTGGGTGTTCTAGTCAGGGATGAGCAGCAGTGAAAGTGGGGACCCCCAGGGTTAGAAAGTGGGTGGACTATGAGATGCCCACAGGCAGCCCCTACTGGGCCTCCCCTTGTGACCTGATAGGGCCTGGGCCCCCCGGACAGGAGGTCTGCCTGTATCCCACTGATGGTGGCCCTGATAGGACTGATGATGGAACGTTAGTGTGATCAGGATCATAAAAGGGCTGATGTGTATATAATGTATGTATATATAATGTATGTATATAATGTATGTATATAATGTATATACTGTATGTGTATAATGTGTATAATGTATGTGTATATAATGTATGCATTGATGGTCATCTTTGCCATCTGACAGCAGTGGAAGTGTTACAGGTGAAAATGTAAAAAACGGTTCAAAAGAACGATTGTCCTACAAATCCGGACACGGGGCCTGGTATGAAGTCACTGATCTTACTTAAAATGGGATTCTGCTTTTATCAACTTTTGAACAATGTACTAAACACATTACTTAGTAATCGGGTCATTAGCAAATGAAAGCTCATTACAATGTATTGTGCAAGTCTAAATAGTTACATAATTAGGTTTAAAAAAAAAAAAAAAAAAAGGACAAATCCATCCAGTTCAACCAATAAAAAAAAAAAAAGGGGAAAAAACAATTATATACAATTGTATACACTGCCCAAAAAAAATGAAAGGAAGACTTTGTAATCCAAGTCACATGAAGTTGATTCTCTCTCCTGGGATATGGATCTGGTCAGGTAAGTCGCAGAGGATCTGGTCAGGTAAGTCG